ATCGATGTGAGAGAGAAAAGTCGATCAGTTGTCGCTCGTATGTGCCCTGAGCAGGGACCTGACCTACAACCCAGGCATGTGCTCCGACCAGGAATTGAACCAACATCACCCAACCAACTGAGCCACATTGGTCAGGGCCTTATCTACATTTTTTACGTCGACTCCAAAATACGGAATTTCATTTAGACTTAAAAAATGCTTGGTCGTTATATTTCTTTCATATTTTCCAAGCAGACTTATGGTAACAAAACACACTGAAATAACCAATACAGTTGTCAACCAGATTCAAGGATAATTCTGGTGGCATTATATTTTGTTCAAAGATGATCTTTTTAAAAATTTAAAAACAAATTTTTTGATCAGTAGAACTCAAAACTACCCTGCAAACTGATACACTTTCCTAATGGTAATCCTGACTCCCAGAAGACAACAAGCAGATTTGGGAACTCAGCAAGTTTTACACAGAGTTCTGTACTCTTCATTAAGCCCAGGCACAATGAAAGAATTAGCTATCATTAACCATCATAAAGGCTTCATGTAATCGGTAGTTGACGATCTTTGTTAATAGAAACAATGTGCCTGCCACACTGCAAAAGGTAAAATGAAAACATTTGGAATTTGAATAAAATATTTACTAACAGGAGGACTGCAAGAAAAAAAAATCCTTTCGACAAAATAATTTTGCTACTTTAGTCACTGTAAGCAAAAGCTTCAGATTCCATTAACTGCCTCTGGTATTTGGCAAAGAGGCAGGACAAGCTTCCAGACATCACAGTCCTCTCCGCTGTAGGGACACTATTGAGCAGCAACCTGAAGACTAGCGCAGATCCCAGGATGTCCTTGAACCAAGGAGATGCTGCTGCTCTGGCTGCCCGTGACCCTCTCTCTCCATGTGAGATGTCAGGTGCCCACCCAGAGAGGCTATTTCTGTTTCTAGGCCCTTTTCCAGAACCGGGGGTGTGTTCTAGAAGTCCAGACAAGAACCCTCCTTTTGACTGACAGCTGAAGAGCAGGCCCCAAGCTGGGTGCGGATTATACACCCGTGAACTGGCTGAGTTCTTGCTCCCAGGCTGGCTGGCAGCTCACAGGCCGCCTTGCCCTGGCCTCAGAAGCAGGTTCTCCTGCGGAGATTGCACACCTGCCGGTTGCTGACAGCAAGGCCGTGCAGGAGCCCGAACTTGGTGGCCCGGCTTGAGGCAGGCCAGAGGGAAGCTCCCCCTGCAGAGTTACGGGGATCGCCAGCTGGCCTGAATCAATCCTTTGTTTCCACGCTTACATGCTATCTCAGCTAAAATTTCAAGTCCTGATGGAAATTCCACCATTATTTCAAATGGCTGATATGCCTTTAAATAACTCTTGAAAAATCTGAGTATGTCTGCGGAGTGCATATTACCCAGGGTTTACTTGTTTTCTGTATCCTTTAGAGGTGGTGATCTGTATATGATTCCACTCAGGTCCTTAAAAAATCAGCTGTTTAACACACAACACCGGACAGAAACAAGGCCGAGGCGCCACAAGGGAAAGAATGCATGTAAATTTTCACTTCCACTTTTAGTAGACTTAAAAAAATTCAGGGGTTAAACACCTACAAGACCCTTCTGCAACTAAAGACAGAAAAAGTTACAAAGAGACAAAAAGGGTAGAGAATTGCAAACTACTCCAGGCTTTCTCCCACTTTCTCTTATGCCACTTGCACTCAGTGTAGCAAAGTCAAGAAAAGCTGCCTTATCAGATGAACACACCAGTATGCAAAAACAATGCTGCTTAAGTTGACTGTGACACGGAACATAAAGTGGAGCTGTAAATGGAATGCAATGGGGCCATAACTTGAGATGACTGGAAAGATAAAACTGAAACAATTTTTTGTCACTTAAAAGCCCCTATGGATCATCTTAATCAATCTTGGGACAACTATATAAATACTGTAAACAGTGAGACAACAGTCAAAGTCCCATGGGCCAAATGTCTCCCAACAGAATCAATGCTCAAACTCCCTGAAGTCTCATTTAACAATTACAGTACCATGCATCTAGGTATCTTTTCACAGCAAATCCATTCATTAGAAACCATCACAAAGCGAAATTTTGCCTGCTTGGTGGCCAACAAAGTTGCCTTCTATCCAGAAAATAAAGATTTTACAACAAACAGAAAACAAGCATAAAATGCATAAACAGCCCTAGCTGGTGTGGCTCAGTGGATTGAATGCTGGCCTGAGAACCAAAGGGTCGCTGGTTCGATTCTCACTCTAGGGCACATGCCTGGGTTGCAGGCCAGGTCCCCAGTGTAGGATACAGGAGAGGCAACCACGCATTAATGTTTCTTCCCCTCTCTCCCTTCCCCCCTTCTCCTCTCTAAAAATAAATAAAATCTTTATTTAAAAATGCATAAACACACGTCTATATCTCTGAAGGTCAAAGGTGCTTTCACAAAAGCAATCCGAACTGGATACCAAAGCCAAAAGATCAATAACCTGGCAATTCTCAATCTCCTGAGCAGCCAGCTTGACAGCTGAAACACACACAAGCTTCATTCTAACTTGTAACACCCCAGTCACTTTCTGGGACCCCTCAGTTCTGACAGCAGTCCTGCCCACTGTCTCCCTGGGCCACGTCCATGCACTTCACGAGCATGTGAAGAAAACACCAGTATTCCGTCAGGCAAGAAAAAAACCCTGTCTCTCTCCAGCTGTCAGGCAGATTCTTCTCCCTGATGGAAACACCATTTAGGGAGCCCACCATCTCTCTAAAAGTATTCCCATGGTTTCAGACTACACTGAGCTTGTTCTTCAAAACAACTATTTTTTTTTTAAACAAAAAACAAAAATAGCACTCAGCTTGGGCACACGATCAAAAACAGCTTGCATCGTGGGCCCACTGTTTCATATAGTTGTGTCATCTTCTCTTAAGACGCAGAAAGCCACTAGAAGGGTCTGTTTCTTTAGCAATGCCCGTCTCATCTGCACTCCACCTCTTCCCCACATTCAAGCTAATATTCACATAGGCTCTTAAAGAATTATACTCTGAAAGGAAATTCTGAGATGACCTAGTCCGAATTAACCCTTAATAGCCCTGGCAGTCAGGCAGACCCTTGTTCAAATTCTGCCTCTGGCACATTCTAGTTATATAGACTGTTTTCTTATATGTAAAACAGATAAAAAGCAACCTTATGAAACTGTTCGAATGATCAAATAAAATAATAACTTTTTAAAAACTTGGACTTTCCTTTTTTCGGGTCCTGTTAAGACAATCTGCTTGGCTGATTTTCTTCCTGGTTTATGTTATATTCGATTGCAAACCCAAGAGGCGGGGCTTTTTTCCTATTGTATTTCCTACAGTGCCTAGTCCAGTGTGCGGCATCTTTTCAGAGAGCCACAGACCAACTCTGTGAAAGAATGTTAAACCTCTACCATCTCCACCAATTTCAACAAACGTATTGTTCCTTAATTCCCCCAAGAACCCAATCACTTAGGTCTAGGTTTCTCCTAAATGTGCCTTCTCAAGATAAATAAATCTCTTTATCTTTCTACTCCCTCTTCTTACACACATACACCCTTCTTTTTAAGAGCTGGGGGAAAAATAAAGGGAAAAAAAAAAACCAAACACTGCCTGTCCCCAGTTTTTGGAATAAAGTTAGCATCTCCACCAGGATATGAAGGCAAACTGTGATAAGTAGAGAAAAAGAATTTAGAAGGATTCAAAATCTCCAGAATTTTCTTAGGTTGTGTAGTAGCATAAAGTCTTTAAATGAGAATTACCTGTCTGTAACAAAATCTGGCAGAGAGTAAACAAGAGATTCACTGGTCAGTTGTCTGTGAAGTTAAGTACTGCCCTTCGTTTTGTGCAAGCAAACAGTGACTTATAAGATTAACTTGATTCTATTGCAACGCTGGGTGTAGATATCTTTCAACAAGAAAAGATTCATTACAAATGCGGGCCCCTTGGTAATAAATTTATATTTTAAGGGGGTATAAATTTTGCTTTTGAAGTCTACTTTACTAGAAAAAATTTGCTCCATGCGCCAGGGCAGAAGTGTTCTTTATTTCCTTTGCAATGGGGCAACGACCAAAGAACCAAGAGGGGAGAAGCAGATCAGATCCCGCACCCCTGGAGAGAGGGCGCAGATTTCCACCCAAGTGAGGTTGGTTCTTTCAAAGAATATTTTTCCTAACAGCTTTACACATAATCGACATCTTGTACCAATTACACAAATACCATTTAAGCAACTCTGGTGGCCTGGGAAAAGACCACAGAAATCCTTATGGGCCTCAGCTGTCCCCTGCTGCAGGGCTTGACAGCGTGTCCAAGGCTCCCGAACACCAGCCACCAGGCTCCCCCCAGCGCCCTCCTCTCGCAGCAAACTGCCAAGGCTCTCGGGCCAAACTCCAATGTCGCTGGATTCAAAACCGCGAATATGTGAACACTTCTAAGCAAACGGTAGGGCGCGTAATAACTTCTCAATCTTTCTCTTTTTGCGGACTTGAGATGCTTGTGTCTAACGCCAACTTCCCATATCCATAGCCTGTTTCCCGTAACCCACCTCAGGAGAAAGCGAAGGGGTGGGCAGACCCAAGAGAGGGCTTGTGACTTCTACAACCTCAGCGGTTTTCCTAGTGAGGGAAATTTCCTAGTACACAGAGGCCTCAAAATGACTAGATGCAAATATAAGGTGAGGAGAATGCTCTTCTCCCCACCCGTGCAAAAAGAAATAATAAAAACCAATGCAGCAGACGTTTAGTTGGAAATACCGGGCCCTCTTCTGGGCCGGTGAGGCCCGCAAAGCAGGCGTCTGGAATCTGGAGGAAGAAAGTTTACCTGACAAAGTGGAGGCCAGGGCGTGGGGGCAGTCTCGGTCCCAAAGGGACTGAGAGGAAAAAGACGGGAACTAACCAGCCCCGCGCGCGGCGAGCCGCAGCCGCCGGCGAGCGGGCCGGGTAGAAGTGCGGGAGCAGAGGCCCGCGGAGCCCCAAGAGCCCCAGGAGCCCCGGCCAAAGCTCTACTTACATAACGCTTCAACTTTTTCTCCGGGGGAGACTTGCGAAGCCATCCCGAGCAGACCACTTCGCCACCGCTCATGTTGCGCGCTTCTCGGGCTCCGGCCCGGGCAGCGGAGGGGAGGAGGGCGCGCTCCGCACTCAGCCGACGCCTGCCGGCCGTGCAACGGTGGGGACCTCGCTCTCCGGCCGCTCACCCCAGTCCGACGGGGTGGGCGGGGTGGGCTGGCCCGGCGGCGCGCTGGGGCTCAGCGGCCGAGCCTCTGCCCTGCAGGTCCGCAGACGTGAACAGAAGTGGGCTGCTTCTCGGGGCACCTCGACACCTCGGGGCAGGGGCCGCCGCCGGCTGAGGGTACCCCGGCCTCCTTTCTGCGCGCCCGCTTCGTCGCCAGGCGCCTCGTCCCGCCGGTCCCCAGCTGCGATCAGGCTCCACGGGACTCTGCCCCGGCACCAAGCCGGGGCCTCTGTACCCTGCGCGCTCCGCCCCCTAGGGACAGGACCTCCCCAGAGCGTTTTCCGAAACACGGTACGCTGTGCGCACACACACACTCACTCACTCACACATACAATACCCAGCGCAGCGCCCACTCCGGCTCTCCCGCTCTCCCGCTCTCGGTTTCGGTGCGCCCGGGGCGATCCTATCCCTCCTCCTCCCCGGGGGAGGGTGGGTCACTTCTCCGAACGCCCGGGAAGCCGGGGAGAAAGGGATAGCCGCGAGGGTCCCGTGGGCAGTGGGCAGTGGGCTCAGGGCTGGTCCCGGGTTGGCGGCGTAGCGCGGGGCGTCGCTGGGTGGCAGGCGGCGGGCGCCGGGAAGGGAGAAAGCAGGTCCCGCCGAAGGGTGGGTGCGCGCTCGCGCCCGCGGAACAGGGCGGGGACCTGAGGAGGAACGCGGCGCTCGGCTGTTCGGCTCCGGGGAAGGATCCCACTGTCCCGCACCCTCGAGATCCTCCGGGGCCGCCTCCCCCACCCGGGGCGCGCGGCAGGTTCGGAGCCGCCCGGCGCCCGGCCCGGATCCCTCCCTCTCCCGGCCTCTCGGCTCCCTCTTCCTCCCTTTCCTCCTCCCCTTCCCACGTTCGGGCCGGCTCCGGTTTCAGCCCAGACTTTCTCTGAAACTCCGCCCGGGTGCTTCCAGCCAAAACAACAAGGGCTAGGGAGGAGGCGACGGGCGGAGGAGGGAGCGAGAAAGGGAGGGAGCAGGAGTCCTTGAGGCACCCTGGGATCTGTAGTTCGGAGAGCTGGAGTGGGGTCCTCGGCCGCCCGGGGGCGGTGGCGGCCTGAGCCCCTAGCCGGCTCCTCGCAGGGGAAAGAGGCCGGGGCGAGGGCATCGCGGCCGGGGCTTGGGCGCGGGGAGGAGTGAGAAAGGTTCGAATGTTCTGTTGGGTTTGCCATCTTGGCGCACTGGGTGTCATCCGGAGTTTGTACTATGCACGAGATCTGAAATTTGGGAAGTTTTCTCCGCTTGACAGCCTGCAAAGAACTACGACCAGGAGGGAGGTTGCTCCGGAGACCGAAGGGCAGGGACCTGGAGGTCAGGGCCCGGGGTTGAGCGCCATAGATACCAGCTTGGTAGAGCGGGCACAAGGGGACCCCCTCGGGCTCGCGTGGTCTGGTCCCCGGAGCAGTCGTCCCAGAGTGGTGGGAATGCTTAGGATTTTGTCGGGCCAAAGGATTTGATTGAGTCTTATCTCTGGGACATTGTAAAGCCTCCCACTGCCTCTTTTTGTTCCCACTTTCTTCCACTTGGCTGTATTTGTTTAAAATCTATCTTTCGCATGTTGGACTAGAAAAGGGGGAACTTACTGGATGTTGTATTTGTATACTTGTGTGTGCTTTACAATTATGATACTTGGTCCTGAGCTTAACATGATCCTGAAATAGAAATACCTTTCAAACTTATTTATGAAAAACAAATTTTAGAAAGTAATGTAAAGAAATAATCAGATGCAAGTGCTAAAAATATTAGGAGATAAATGACTATTTCTGGAAACAATAACCTCAGTCATTTTCGTATGAACGCACATTCATACTGAATTCCTCTGACTTTGAAAATGTACAATTGTAGCAGGAATTTAGGTGCTGGGAGGGGGAGGGCATTAACATACAAAGGTCCCTGCACTCATTGAGGTGACATTGCAGTGGTGGCACAGGATAGTAAACAAAGGTCTACATAGTACAGGCTGTGGAAAATGTGCCCTGAGTGAAATAAACAGAAAGGTGAAAGAGTAAGGAGGTGGGACTGGGTTAGATAGGATGAGAGGGAAGTGTTTCTGAGGAGGCATTTAGCCAGATATATGAAAGATGTCAGGAGAGGAGAATCAGGCCTGCTTTGAGGAAGGATAAAAGGCATAACCACCTCTCTTCTCATTCTGTACTTTCTCGTGTATGGTGGTATCCTGACTTTTTATAGGCACTTCACAAATTTCCACCCCCAACCTAGTTCTCTTTCCTGAACAACCAATCTATAAAGCCAACTGCCATCTTTATATACCATTTGGCTCTGCAAAATCAACAAAATTAGAACCATGATCTCCTCCAGCTCTCAGATCAGAGCTCTGGAGATCCCCCAACTCAAGTGCTCCCTTCCAGTCTTCAGCTGACTATCCATCAGCAGATGCAGGTGAAGACACTATTTGACAGTGGAGAAAGAACCGCTGGAAATGATTACAAGGAAAAGTCACCGGAGAACCACACAGGGCAGAAATAGCTCCTGTTCTCCCAGCCAGAATGAAAAGCATCGTAATTCACAAGGCACTGTAAACTCTAAAGGATTTTATCTCAGTAGTGGTACAAAACTAGCCCTGGGCTAAATACTGCTGTGGTTCTCCCTAAGAAAACTTAACAAACAGCAAGACCCCAAAAAGGATCGAGCTCTTTTCAAGTAACTTAACTGTTTCCCAAATAAGAACTCAGTACATTTATAGGAAAACAAAAATGCCCAATGCCCAACAAAATAAAATTTTCAATGTTTGACATTTAATCAATAATTTAAAAGAAGCAGGTAAGTATGACCCAAAATGAGGAGAAAAATCAATTGAAGCCAACCCAGAAATGACATGATAAAATTAGTTGACAAAAATAGAAGAATTGTTATAACTATATCCCATATTTAGGAAGCTGGAGGAATGACTTAACATATTAAGTAAAAACGCAGAAGATATTACAAAGACCTAAATAAAACTTCTAGAGATGAAAAATACAAGGACTGGCATGAAAAATATACTGCATGCAATTAACAACAAGTTAGTGCAGGAGAAAAGACTAGTGAATTTAAATACAGAAATATGAACAGTGAGGGAACAAAAGATTGAAACTAATGAGCCCTGGCTGGTGTGGCTGAGTGGATTGAGCGCTGCCCTGTGGACCGAGAGGCACATGGCTTGGGTTGCTGGCCGGGTCCCCTGTTGGGGGCACGAGAGAGGCTACTGATTACTGTTTTTCTCCCTCTCTTTCTCCCTTCCCCCCCCCAAAAAGAAATAAAATCTTTGAAAAAAAAAAAGAAAACAATGAATAGAGCATCAATAAAAATGTGATCACTTCTAATGGCCTAACAATCATGTAACTGGAGTCCAAAGGAGGGGGCATAGAGAAACATCTGAAGAGGTAACGGCGGAAAGGTATCCAAATTTGTTGCAACTGTAAATCCATAAGTTCAAGACAGGCTGGGAGAAATTAAGACCAAAGTAAAATATATTGAGCTCATAAATCAGAAGACAATATTGTTAAATTGTCAGTTTCCCCCCAGACTGATGTATAAATTTAACACAATCCCAATCAATTCCCCAGCAAGCTTTTTTTTTGGGGGGGGGGCGCAAAATTGGTAAACTAATTCTAAAAGTTACATGGAAATGCATGTAAAGGACTAAGAATAATTAAAACAACTGAAAAAACAACAAAGTTAAAGAACTTAAATGACCTGACCTCAAGAATTATATAAAGGCACAATAATAAAGACAGCGTAGTATTGGCATCAAAATAGACAAATGGATTAATGGAACAGAAAAGAGAGTCCAGAAATAGACTCATACATATATGGTCAATTGATTTTTGACAGAGGTGCACAGGCAATTCAAAGGAGAAAGGATGGTCTTTTCAATAATTGATGCTAAAGCAATTGGATATCGAAATGCAAAAGCAAAACAAAAACAAAAACCAACTTCAAGCACACGTTGCAACACATGCACAAATGTACTCACAATAGGTCATTGACCTAAATGTAAAACCTGGTAGAAGTAATACTTCTGGAAGAAAACAGGAGAAAATCTGTGTGACTTTGACTTAGATAAAGATCTCTTAAATATGACACCTAAAGTGTAACTCATGAAAGAAAAAAATGATAAATTGGTCTTTATCAAAATTAAGCATCTCTGCTCCTGGAAAGACACTGTTGAGGGAATTAAAAGACAAGCCACAAACTCGGAATCTTATTTGCAAATAAAATATTTGATAAAGGACTTTTAGCCAGGTAATAATAAAGAACTATCAAAACGCAGTAATAGGAAAATAACCTAATTAAAATGAGCAGACAAACAACCGAAAAAGACATACAGATAACAAATAAGCACATCAAAAGATGTCTACAAAATCATTAATGACTAGGGAAATGCAAATTAAAATCACAATCAGATACAACTTTACATATAGAATGCCTAAAATTAAAAAGATTGATTATAGTAAGTGTTATTGAGAGATTGAGCAACTGAAATTCTCATAGACTGCTTAGGACAGTGTAAAATGGAAGACATTTTGGCAGTTTCTTATGTTAAACATACATATAACATGTGATCCAGACATCCTACTACTGAATATCTGCCCAAGATAAATAAAAGCATATGTCCATTCAAAGACTTGTGCATGAATGTTCTTATCAGCTTTATTTTAAATAGCCCAGTCTGAAAAGAACTCAAATGCCTATCATTAGGTTAATGGATAAACAAAGTGTGGTATATCCATCTAATGGGATACTACTGAGAAGTAAAAAGGAATGAATTAGGAATAATACATGTAATGAGTGGATGAATCTTAAAATAATTAAGTTGAGTGAAAGAAGACAAAAATAAGGACATGCTTTATAATTCCATTTATATAAAATTCTAGAAATTACAAACCAATCTACAATGGCAGTTGGCTGGGATTTTGAGGGATGGATTCACTACCTTAATTGTAGTGATGTTTTCATGGTATGCACATTTGCCAAAACTTATCAAATTGTACACTTTTAAATATGTGTGCTTTATTTCATGCCAATTATATCTCAATAAAATTGCTTTTTAAAAATAAAAGCAAGATAGTCAACTTAATAGAAAAAAGCAGGCAAGGACTTAAAACTTAGACAAAGCTAATCTATGAAAGTCAGGAGAATGGTTACCTTTGGGATACCTGGCGGGGGGGCAGGGGAGGATTGCTTGTACTTGGGTGATAATGTTGATTTCTTGATGTGGGTGCTGGTTACATGGTGTTTACTTTTGGAAATTTATCCAGCTGAATATTTATGATTTGTGCATATTCCTGTATTTGTTATACTCCAATTTTTTTAAGTTTATTTTTTATAAAAAGAAGTATATATACATTTCCCATCATGGTGTAGAATTTTGAGACGTGTTGGTTCTGTCTCAGAATAAAGTCTCTGCCACTTTTATTCTGGGAGATGAATCCTCTTACTGTGCTTTTCCAGGTGGCAAAAAAATTTTTCTCACAAGTTTCTCAGAAAGCTGTTTATTATTTTTATAAGTGAGGGATGTGCCTATTTTAGCTTCAAAGAAACCAGCAACCTCTTCCAGACAGGAAATTGCTAGGGAAATGAAATTAGATTGTTCAGAATGTTAATGCAGTCAGATTCCAGCGGGGCGGTGCTTGGTGTGCTCGCCAACTTGCCTGTTCGGCTCCTGTGCTTCTTCCCTTCCCAAGCCCATCAGTGCAGACTCTTTTGTCGTTGTTGTACTCTTTAATGCTATTGTCTCCAGTGACAGCTGATGGTGCCAGTTGACATATGGGAAAACAATTGATTAGCTGTGC